CAGGAGAGGGCAGCTGAGAGGCTGCGAAGCTCTGACAGGCGACCGGACAAGGGGCTTTTCAGGAAGACCCTGCCTGGAGCCCTAAGCACCACAAGTGGGAACGTCTCTCCTGCTCCTGAATATTCATCTCAGCCTGGGATACAAAACGGGGCAAAGTCAGGCCAAGCTGCCTGCTGCCGCCCAGTAGTAGGATGGCCGTGCTACTGACAGAGCTGGGAGCAGCGTGCTTGCTCCAGCATCTGCACACCGTGCGAGTGAAACCTCTTCCCAGAGCCAAAGCACTAGCTTCTCCACAGTTTGAGGGCCCAGGGTCTCTGGAGAGGGACCTTTGTGGCCTTGAGTCTTTAAAGGAGCTCTGTGCTGGTGTACTCTGTCCTTGCTTTGTGTCTCCAGTTACCTCTTTCTCTCTCTGATGTGCTGTCTCAATCGCCATCTGTTTACAGGGCTTTGTCAAATCAAAAAGCATGCGATGCTCTCAGAGCCTTGACTCCTTTAGTGGGATTCAGTGTGCACCCAGTTCTTCCTCCTCTCCTCCATTCTTTTGTCTCTAGTGTCCTTTTAGGTGGGGTAGCCGTAGTCCTTGTGCTGGGAATACCTGATGACCCAGACCTCTGCCATTCCAGGGTCACACTGGAAATCACAAAAAGGTTTATGTCATTTCAGCTAGGGGCATCTTCTGGAGTCTTTGTATCTGTCAGACCACCAGCACTTCCTTCCTCGGCTATCAGAAAGATCACAGACCTCTGCACAGTCTGAGACCCAGCCAGCAGCTCCTTCAGCATGTAGTTTTACATGGCTTCTCTCAGTTTCTGCCCCACATTTAATTTCTGACAGATTCTAGGTGACTGGTGGCTGAGCTGAGCAAATGATAATACATCTCATAAGAAGTAAATTCTTGCCAGTCTTAGGATGATGGCAAGTAGGCAGCGGGGGTTAGTGCAGCCAGCTTCTTTCCAGTTCAAGGTTGTGTTCAAATGCGCGGTCCATGGCTATGGAGTCCTACTCAGCCCAGATCTGCTCCTCTTGCAAGATTTTTTTTTCGACCCCAAGCTTCAAAGCTTTATTGCCTTGGCTTAATATTAAATAATATATTTTTAATAATTGCCAAATAACTCTCTTTAGTTGTCTAATATGAAGCAAGGGAACCTTTGTCTCTAGTGAAAGGAGAGCATAACACTCCCCACTCACTGCTCTTGCTTTCTCTTGTTGCAGACATTCCGGTGATCCCTGATTTGGAGGAAGTCCAGGAGGAAGATCTGGCCATGCAAGTGGCAGCTCCTCCCAGGTAAGAGCACTGCCAGGTGTTCTGGAGGCTCTCATCAGCAGTGCAAAATGGCTGGTGAAATTAAACTCCATCTTATCTCCTGCTCTCTGGATGTCAGTGGCAGTGCCCTTCAGCAGGGGTCGGGGCTGT